ACCTGGATTTTATTTTTTTATTGGTTCAATTAGGGTTTCTGGTCAGTGTCTCCCAAAGCTCCCACCCCATAAGACTTCAGGGGCTTCTTTGACATCTGAGCTCCTTATACCCTCCCTGGGAAGGTCACCACCCTTCTCAGATTCTCATCTTGAGCGCCAGTTGAAGAACCTGGAGGTAGAATGCCACCATCTATAGCCTATCTCAGGGTAGCCTTTTACCAACTTTTCTCTTCGAAGGTCTCAAAAATAGATGCTTTCTTTACAGGATGCAAAGCTCATCCAATATTTGGGATGAATCCTTAAAAAATTTGAAGGTTCCCTTACAGAAGCCACTATACATAAGTATCTTATAAAAGAAGGCCATCCAGAGTTTTAAGGCATATTTGCAGGGAAAAACCCATTTTTGTGAAAACGTATAATCTGGTTGCAGTGTTCGATATTCACATTCACAGATGGTGGCTCTGTTGCAGTCACCCACAGGTTCTTCCTGCCCACTGCACAGACACTGAGACTATGGTAGTGCAGTAAATAAGTAGTTTAGTCTGGGTTTGGTGGCTCATGCCTGTAATCCTAGCACTTTGGGAGGCTGAGGCGGGTGAATCACTTGAGCCCAGGAGTTCAAGACTAGCCTGGGCAGCATGGCAAAACCCCATCTCTTCTAAAAATACACACACGCACACACACACACACAAATTAGCTGGGTGTGGTGGCACACACCTATAATCCCAGCTACTCGGGAGGCTGAGGCATGAGAATCGCTTGAACCTGGGAGGCAGAGGTTGCAGTGAGCTGACATGGTGCCATTGCACTCCAGCCTGAGTGACAGAGTGAGACTGTGTCTCAAAAAAAAAAAAAAAAAGAGTTTAATTAACTTAATTAACGTAAGGCTGGCCACTGAGATGGAATTGTTACTCAAAGCAGTCTCTCTGAATCTCAGAGGTCAGGGTTTTTATGGACAGTACTGTGGGCAGGGAGCTGGGGAACAGGAGGTGCTGATTGGTTGGGATGAAATCACAGGGGCGTGGAAAATGGTCCTTGTGTACTGAGCCTGCTTCTGGGTGGGGTCATAGGATCAGTTGAGTCACGAAATACGAGTCCCGGCAGCGTCAGTCAGGTGGGGTAAATCAGTTGCCCGAAAGTCTGAAAAATACCTGCAAAGATCAATCTTAGGGTCTCCAATAGTGACGTTATCTATAGGAGAAATTGAGGGAAGTCACAAATCTTTGTTACCTCTGGCCACGTGACTCCTGAGCAATAAGGGATTATAGAAACTACATTCAGCAGAATTCAAGCCCCTCCCCTAATCCTAATCTCGAAACCTTTCATTAGTTTTCAAAGGTGGTTTCGGCCTCAGAACAGGGAGGAGACTATTATCATTCTTGCTTCAAAGTTAAACTATAAACTGGCCTGGCACAGTGGCTCACGTCTGTAATCCCAGCACTTTGGGAGGTTGAGGCAGGTGGTTCATTTGAGGTCAGGAGTTTGAGACCAACCTGGCCAACATGGCGAAAACCCATCTCTACTAAAAAAAATGTACAAAAATTAGCTGGACATGGTGATGGGTGCCTGCAATCCCAGCTACTTGGGAGGCTGAGGCATGAGAATCACTTGAACCCAGGAGGCAGAGGTTGCAGTAAGCCCAGATCACACCACTACACTCCAACCTGGGTGGCAGAGGGAGACCCCTTTTCAAAAACAAAACCAACCGAACAAACAAAAACCTATAAACTAAATTCCTCCCGAAGTTAGCTTGGCCTATATCCAGGAATGACCAAGGACAGCTTGGCAGTCAGAAGAAAGACGGAGTCAACTATGTCAGATTTGGGTTACCATTATAATTTTGCAAAGGTGGTTTCAGTGTCAGATCCTGGCCTCCGGGTCCAATGTGGAAGGAATTCCTTGGATCTTTGAAGCACATTGTCCATGAATATTCACTTATTTTGTGGAACAGCAGAGTAGAAAAGTGATGAATTAACACCAAAAGCAACACGTTACAGGGGTCTTATGACCTGTTGATTTTTAAGGTCAAGGAGGGGTGGTAGGGAATCCTAGGAGTCAAATTACACTTAAATAATGCTGAATTTTCCATTATGTCTCCTACCTTAACACACATCATTCTCATGGATTCCCATTTGATGATTTCTAGAATGTTAACGAAACTGTCACCTTGGTGAGAAGATCATTCTAATAGCTTTATTCTGGCATATGGAGGTATGGAGAGCTTGAAGGAGTTGGAAAGGTCAGTTTTTCCTTGTTAGTAATCTGGCATATTATTGTAAAAGTATAAGACAATTAATTTGGAAATGTAGATAGGATTGTGTAACTCATTAGTTCTTAATAGAGAGAGGTGTGATACCTGTATTATTAGGGAACATAACTGAATTCTCTTCCTTTTCCCTGTAGGTGCCCAGCTAAGACCAGGATGCCATCACCCTACCCAGGGCTCTGCAGTTTTCTCATGGTGAACCCTTGATGGATTTGTTGTTGCTTGAGAAATGGCTATGATCGAAGTGGGATTTGAAAGACAGAATTTTCATCCGTTAAAGAGGAAGAGTGCATTGCTGTTGAAACTCATAGCTGTTGTCTTTGCTGTGCTTCTATTTTGTGAATTTTTAATCTATTACTTAGTGATCTTTCAGTGTAATTGGCCTGAAGTGAAAACCACAGCCTATGATGGTGAACAGGCCTCACGTGAGCCTGTGCTCAAAGCCATGTTTTTGGCTGACACCCATTTGCTTGGGGAATTCTTAGGCCACTGGCTGGACAAATTACGAAGGTAAGAGGTAAAATCAGGAATCTTTCTAAAATTCTGTAGGCAAAATGGTATAGCTCTCTCCTCATAGGCAAGACTTAATGGCTTTAGGTTACTCTTAGTTATTTTCCTCTTAAAGGAGGACATTTAGGGACATTTGGCTTTTTCCTTGAATTTACCATTTACTGAGGATGTATACAGGGCCCCATAATTTGGGAGTCGGATCTGGGCCACGTCGCTTTGTGACTTTGGACAAGTTGTTAGGGCCCCTCTGAGCCCCTGCCTCCTTGTTTGTAACTGGGTGAAGACAAGAAACATCACAAGATGTGCCACGCAATGACAAGAAGATGCCACGCGATGCCTGGTACCGGGACTGGTCCCCTGGGCAGGGAGGACACAGATCTGGGCTGATGGTCCCATCTCACCTTCACTGTGTGTAACTTTGAGCCTGTTGGGTTTCAGCCTCCTCTAGACAGCGGAGGAGCAGAGCAGATGTGTGGCTGTCACCCTAGGGAAGGGTCAGGTCCCATCTTTCCTACTCACACCTGCCCCTGCAGGGTCCTTTGGTTTTTTTTCACCAGGAAGCTTTTTAAACAAATTATTTTTAGGCCGGGCGCAGTGGCTCACGCCTGGAATCCCAGCATTTTGGGAGGCCAAGGCAGGCGGATCACCTGAGGTCAGGAGTTCAAGACCAGCCTGGCCAACATGGTACAACTCCATCTCTACTAAAAATAGAAAAATTAGCCGAGCATGGTGCCGGGTGCCCTCAATCTCAGCTACTTGGGAGGCTGAGATAGGAAAATCGCTTCAACCTGGGAGGCGGAGGTTGCAGTGAGCTGAGATTGCGCCACTGCACTCCAGCCTGGGCAACAGAGCAAGACTCCATCTGAAAACAAAAACAAAAACAAAAGAATAAAGAATAATGGAGCAGCTGTACCTTTTTACTAAGAGTTTTAACCAAAGGAGGCGTGAGCTCAAGAAGGGCCGGTGCAGGGCCTGCAGTGTCTTGGTCTTACAAATCGATCCTGATTGATGTCTGGTCTCTCCAAGTAGCCTTCCGTGCATTCTTCCTGCTGCTGTTTCTAGATTTTTACTTTCTGTGGTGAATAAATCAAGAGAAACTGAGAAGCTGGGTGCAGTGCTTCACGCCTGTAATCCCAGCACTTTAGGAGGTGGAGGTGGAGGTGAAGGATTGCTTGAGGCCAGGAATTTGAGACCAGCCTGGGCCACGTGGCAAGACCTCATTTCTACAAAAAAACAATAAACAAAAACCAAAAAATAGCTAATTTTTGCTATTTATGCCTACTTGTAGTCCTAGTTACTCAGGAGGCTGAGGCAGGAGGATCATTTGAGCTATTCTGAGCACCAGAGTTTGAGCCTCCAGTGAGCTGTGATTATGGCACCGCAGTCCAGCTTGAGTGACAGAGCAAGAGCCTGTCTCTAAGAAAAAGTAAAATAAAATAAGAAAAACAGAGAAATGTGTTTTGAGAGAGATCTTGGGTAAAAAGCCTTTTATGGGTGATTAACATTCAGTGGTTAACTTGAGATCTAAAAATCTTCCTCTGACCAGAAATTACATTGACTGATTAAAGCAAGGTCTAGCTCTGTTGCCCAGGCTGGAGGGCAGTAGTAGGATCATAGCTCACTGCAGCTGCCCAAGTAGCTAGGACAATGGGCTTGTGTCACTACGCCCAGCTAATTTTTACTTTTTTGTAGAGATGGAATTTTGCTGTGTTGCTCATGCTGGTTTTGAACTCTTGGCCTCAAGTGATCCTCCCACCTTGGCCTCCCAAAGCATTGAAATTACAGGTGTGAGCCACTGCACCCAGCCTACTTTCCCCTGTTTCTATATCCCAGGACATAGCATTTCCCTTTTGTAGAGGAGGAGCAGCCAGGAAAATGCCTTAAAAAGGAGGAGAGGTTTAGATTCCTTAGGAAAATGACATAGGCTGGATTTGGTTAGGTTGAAGACGGGGAGGGCTGAGCAAGCACTGAGATTTTTGTGCACCTGCCGTGTGCCTGTGCCATCCTTTACAAACGCTGTCTCATTTAACCCCGTAACTATCCTGTGCAAGTAGGGTTTAAAATCCCCATTTACCGGCCTGGTGTGGTGGCTCACGCCTGGAATCCCAGCACTTTGGGAGGCTGAGGCAGGTGGATCACTGGAGGTCAGAAGTTCAAGACCAGCCTGACGAACATGGAGAAACCCCGTCTCTACTAAATATACAAAATTAGCTGGGTGTGGTGGCACATGCCTATAATCCCAGCTAGGCAGGAGAATCACTTGAACCCGGGAGGTGGAGGTTGCAGTGAGCCGAGATCACGCCATTGCACTCCAGCCTGGGCAACAAGAGGGAAACTCCGTCTCAAAATAAATAAATAAAAAAAATAAAATCTCCATTTACCAATGAAGACACTGGGAATCAGAATAGGCAGTATTTTCAAAGGCACACAGCTTTTCAATGGATTGAGCTGGGATGTTAAGCCATTATCTGTTAGATTGCAGATCCCAGGCTCTTTTTTCTTTTTGAGACGGAGTCTCTCTCTGTCACCCAGGCTAGAGTGCAGTGGCGTGATCTCAGCTCACTGCAACTTCCGCCTGCTGGGTTCAAGCAATTCTCCTGCCTTAGCCTCCCAAGTAGCTGGTACCGCAGGCACCCACCACCATGCACAGCTGACTTTTTGTATTTTTAGTAGAGACAGGGTTTCATGATATTGGCCAGGCTGGTCTCGAACTCCTGACCTCATGATCTGCCCACTTTGGCCTCCCAAAGTGATGGGATTACAGGCATGAACACTACTCCCGGCCTCCAGGCTCTTTTCATTTGCTTGTTTTACCTCGGAGGATTACTTGCATGTCTGAAATCTACAGGATTTCCTGTTTTGATATTGACTAGCCTATTTCTCTTGTCATCTCCCCTCCAACTTGGAAGCAAAGAAGGAAGTTGAATTCCCTTTAAGAAGAAGTGAAAATTAAGCTAGATACAATCATTTCCTCTGTGTGGTACAAAATCAGTCTGCATTGAACATCTTTGGAAGCTGCATTAGGCTCTCTCAGATCCAGTTGTCTTGACTGAGTGATGGCTGCAGGGTGCAGAGTGGGGCCTGTTCCTGCACACCACAGTGTCGGGTGTGTGGGAGGCGTGGCCAGACTCTCCTCTGATACTTAATTCCCACCTTTAATCAGATACGGCCTCTTTGGCCCTTCGAGCCGGGGATGGGAATGCAAGAGTGGGACTCTGGAAGAAGGAGAGTGGAACCATTTAGTTTGCTGTTTAAATGGTGCATGATACAGAAGTAGCCTCCACCCAGGAAAGACTGATGCCTTACTTTTTCCTGTTGGTGTCAAGGGAATGGCAGATGGAGAGAGCCTTCCAGACAGCTCTGTGGTTGCTGCAGCCGGAAGTCGTCTTCATCCTGGGGGATGTCTTTGATGAAGGGAAGTGGAGCACCCCTGAGGTAGGACTCTGTGTTCCAGGTGCCCTCATCCTGCTTTGAGGTCCAGCACAAGTAACCCAGAGAAGCCACGAAGCAATGTCAGCTCGAGTTGGAAATTTTATGGAAGTTGTACTTACTACTGATATTAAAAATGCATAGGCTATCTGGAAGATGCTTAGAATTCATAGGCTATCTAAGATTATTAGAACAACTCAATCTCGGGTTAGGTTGGCTAATCGTAAACATTTGTCTATGTAGGAAATAGGTCGATTAACCAGATATCATTTACTTGGAATACACTGTTTTGTGAACTTCTTGGGAAAGGGAGAAATGGGCAAGATAGATGTTATTTCAGTTGTGACCGAAATTGCAAAATACATATTGAAATGTGCATTTAATTTCACACTCTTATTGAACCACAACATTAGGAGAATTGTGCTACAAAAGGGACTTGCTGTTCTCCTCTGATTTTCTTTTTTCTGAGTGAGAGATGCAGAAGGGGCCCTGGGGACTCGATGTGAGGATCCTCTGCCATCAGAGGGGGCTGAGACCTCCGCCTGGGTATTGGGGTAATGTAAGACTTTCCACAAAGCAAAGAGAAAAGCTCTTCTCACCTTAGTTGTCACAATGTTTTGCTTATTACGTCCTTGGAACAAAACAAATGAAGACATGAACTGTTCTTGCTGCTTAAAAATGTTCAGTCACTAATGGTTTTTGGAAAATATTTAATTTGGGGTGTAGTCTAAAAAACTTCATCACATGCCTATAGTACCAGCACTTTGGAAGCCCAAGGCAGGAGGAGTTTTTTTTTTTTTTGAGATGGAGTTTCGCTCTTGTTGCCTAGGCTGGAGTGCAATGGCGCAATCTCAGCTCACTGCAAACTCTGCCTCCCAGGTTCAAGCGATTCTCCTGCCTCAGCCTCTTGTGTGGTAGGATTACAGGCATGCGTCACCACACCCGTCTAATTTTGTATTTTTAGTAGACATGGGGTTTCTCCATGTTGGTCAGGCTGGTCTCGAACTTCTGACCTCAGGTGACCCACCCACCTCGGCCTCTCAATGTGCTGGGATTACAGGCATGAGCTACTGTGCCTGCCTTTTTTTTTTTTTTTTTTTGGTGGTGGAGGGGATGGAGTCTCACTCTGTCACCCAGGCTGCGGTGCAGTGGTGTGATTTTGGCTCACTACAACCTCCACCTCCTGGGTTCAAGCAATTCTTCCTCCTCAGCCTCCCGACTAGCTGGGATTACAGGCATACACTACTGCTGTCTCTTATACACATCTAGATGTGTATAAGAGACAGCTGGTGGCACATGCCTATAGTACCAGCACTTTGGAAGCCCAAGGCAGGAGGAGTTTTTTTTTTTTTGAGATGGAGTTTCGCTCTTGTTGCCTAGGCTGGAGTGCAATGGCGCAATCTCAGCTCACTGCAAACTCTGCCTCCCAGGTTCAAGCGATTCTCCTGCCTCAGCCTCTTGAGTAGCTGGGATTACAGGCGCCCGTCACCACACCCGTCTAATTTTTGTATTTTTAGTAGACATGGGGTTTCTCCATGTTGGTCAGGCTGGTCTCGAACTTCTGACCTCAGGTGATCCACCTGCCTCAGCCTCCCAAAGTGCTGGGATTACAAGTGCGAGCCACTGTGCCCGGCCGGGAATGCTGCTTTTAAAGATGTTTTCAACCTCGTCTTGGTTGGGACACATGAAGAACTTACTGGACATTTTGTAAGAGCCTGTTCTTATAGCATGCCCAGATCTTAAGCATTTCTCCACCAGGGTCTATGAATGGTCTTCAGGGGATCTTGAAATAATAGGTGCATGAACCAAATATTTTTTGGAATTGCCAGTTACTGTTTTAAGATGGGAGAGGATACCATTTAAAAATTTGGCATCAGGCTGGGCTTGGTGGCTTACGCCTGTAATCCTAGCACTTTGGGAGGCTGAGGCAGGTGGATCACTTGAGGTCAGGAGTTCAAGACCAGCCTGGCCAACATGGTGAAACCTTGTGTCTACTAAAAATATAAAAATTAGCTGGGCATGGTGGCAGGCGCCTGTAATCCCAGCTACTCAGGTGACTGAGGCACAAGGATCACTTGAACCCTGGAGACGGAGGTTCTAGTGAGCCAAGATCATGGCCACTGCACTCCATTCTGGGTGACAGAGTGAGACCCTGTCTCAAAAAAACAACAAAATAAAACGAAAAGTTGGCATCAAATTACATAACAGCAAGTATTAATTGTAGTCTTAAAAAAGACATATTGTGGCCAGGTGCGGTGGCTCATGCCTGTAATCGCAGCACTTTGGGAGGCCAAGGCAGGCGGATTATGAGGTTAGGAGATCGAGACCATCCTGGATAACATGGTGAAAACCTGTCTCTACTAAGAATACAAA